CAAAATGTTAAAGTCAACTTTTATACAAAATGTCAACTTTTATATGCTTGTATTTAAGTGATTTTATATGCATTGAAAGACTATTAAATGCAAAAAGTAAAGTGTCTACTATCATTTTTTAAAGAGCACATTCTAATGCACAGAAAAAAACTCTATTGAAATCTATTGAAATTGAATCTATTTATCTATCTATCTATCTATCTATCTATCTATCTATCTATCTATCTATCTATCTATCTATCTATCTATCTATCTATCTATCTATCTATCTATCTATCTATCTATCTATCTATCTAATCTACCTACCTACCTACCAACCTACCTACTAGAAAGTAAAAATCTTGCTCCTTAGTTTCATGGAAGAGCCATATATATTTATCCCTTTTATGGTTCTTTGATTAAATGTGAGTCAATCAATTAATCAATCAATCAATCAATCAATCAATCAATCTGTCCGTCCATCTTTCCATCAATCCATCCATCTATTAATTTATTAGAAAGTAAAAATCCTGCTTCTTAGTTTCATGAAAGAGTAATACGTTTCACATGTAGGTGTCATTGATGAAAGAAGAGTCAATCAATCAATCAATCAGTCTGTCTGCTATCCGTCCGTCCGTACATCCATCCATCCATCCATCAATCCATCCATACATCCATCCATCCATCCATCCATCCATTCATCCATCCATCTATTTATCTATCAGAAAGTAAAAATCCTGCTTCTTAGTTTCGTGGAAAAGTAATATATTTCACTTTTAGTGGTCTTTGATGAAAGAAAAGTCAATCAATCAATCCCTCCATGCATCCATCCTTGTGCATGTGTGCATAATCAGTATGCAAGATAGATTGATTTTAATAGATTAAATTAAATACACTGAAAAAGCTTAGTTGGAAAGGTCTCACTCTGACTATTGCTGTCCAGAAATGATTAGATTTTTTTTTTTTTACTAGAGACAATTACTCGAAAGTAAGCATTATCTTCCTTTCTCAGATTTCTTGCTATGACATGAAAGTCATTCTGAGTAACGTCAGATCTCCCTTGGAGAGGGAAAAAATCACTTATGTAAATACGCTTCATGCAAATTATATATGTATATAATTATATATATATATTATAAATAAAATTTCTAACCGATGGCAGATCACTTTCCTAGACCTGCAATTATCAATCTAAATTGCATTACTTTAAAACTACTCTGAACAATGAAGAAAAAAATAGGATTAAGTAAAATAGGGAGGTCTACATTTCCTCAATAGGAAGTTACTTGAAGGATTACTGAGGAATTGACAAGGTGTCTGAATGTCCTCTGTCAACCTGCTGCACTGTGTCTCCCCTCCACCCCTGCCCTAAGATATTTAGTTATCCTCCTGCAACAGGTGGTCACAGTCAAACACAATCCTCCATACTGCAGGACGAAGGCGGGAAGATAAAAGCATTGAGCTGACAATAATCCAACACGCTCTACCAGATCCTGCTGCCAGCGGCAATACAAGTGGGTCACATGCCTGCCAACAAATTCATCAGCAACAGGAATTGACTGAATGAAGACGTAAAAAATGTTACAATGGGAGAATCTGAACATCCAGAGTGATGTAAACTGGCTAGAGTAATTCAATGTATGGATGCACTTTTGTTTCAGAGCATGCAATTAATTTAATGAATAATCAGGTCTTAGGTCAAAGCATCTGGCATTGTTTTGATGTGGATATGTAGTCGGTATCAGAGCTAGTCTATTCTGCTGCTTCAGGTTCAGTGAGTGCAAATCAGTTACAGTAATCTTCAAATGACCAACTAATCTGTATAGCGGAGGTGTCTTTACTTGACAGCTTTCTTTAAATAGCCTACACTACAATGTGCAGCAAAAACAATTAGAAATGACAATTTCAGTTTGTAGTCTTGATCTGTTTGTAAAAAAAAAAGTTGACTTTTCAACAAAATAAAAATAAAAAAATACACATAAAAGTGTATTTTTTTTATTTATATTTACATTAATTAGGCCAGTGTGTGTGTGTGTGTGTGTGTGTGTGTGTGTGTGTGTGTGCTTGTGAGCATGTTTTTGTGCTACAAAAATGTATTTGCATCTATTATTTGAATTTATTGATTTATAATTACATAAATAATGTGTTTATAATGTATAGAACAAATTTAACTATTAAAATATTTCTTTAAATTTGTAATTTTGTAATATATACTATATATTTGAATGAAAACTATTCAAACTAAATAAAAGCTATTAGATATGCTAAATGTAATATATAATATTATAATATATAGTAATAACATGCATTAATTTTTATGTTTTGTGGCAGCTTTGGAAAGAGAACAAAAAAATATTGTTAATTTAATCAAATAAATGACCTTTTGAAGAAAAAAAAGTAATCAAAGGGGATTCATTAGCTTTAGCAAAGTTTGGCTGACAGCAGCTTTGAAAGGCAGATGTTGCTGCTGCTGTTTTTAATGAGAGATCACTAATTAGGGTTGCTAGCAATTCAAGTGTGGGGAAGGTGCTTTGCATGGAGAGAGAGAACAGCCAATGGCTAACACACTCGCTGTTATTTACTTCCTCCGCGCAGTGACACGCTGCACCAATTCTTAATTAGAGTCACAGGAAGGGAATGGGGGAACAGCATCCTTACTCGTTTTGACTGCGGTTATAACACAAACACACCAAACAGGAAATACGGAGAATCACAAATTAAGCGGCGTCCCTCACTCGGCCTGACCGATGCGAGAGACGGGGTAAAGGGGAAGGTGACAGACACGTGCATGCAGTATGAGGAAAGAAACTTGTCTATCATTCGCTGACTGAGAGGGGTGCATGAAGGGAGGAAATGCTTTAGGTTGGATTATTTGTAGGAAAGGGGGTGTGAGGGAGTTATACTTTGGAGCTAAGACTTGCACACGTGCACCACCAGTCAAAGGTTTGAAATGAGTACCATTTCTTTGAATGCTTTTAAAAGAAGACTATTTTGCTCATTAAGGTTGCATTTATTTGATTATAAATACAGTAAAAACTGGTGAACTGTAAAAATATTTGTACAATAAAAAATTGAATGCATTTTAAATTGTAATTTATTACTTTGAATTTAAATGTTCTGCATTGTTACTCTAATCTACCGTGTTGAATGATCCTTTAGATATCCTAACATGCTGATCTGCTGTTATGATCAATTATATATACTTTTTAGGGTTCTTTAATGAAAGAAGGGTTCAAAATAAAAGCATAAGTAACACTTTAGAATAATGATTCATTATGGAGTCAATCTGGGACCATATATACTTGCAAAATAAAAGAAAGTTCATAAGCTGACAGTTAAACAGCTGAGCATCTTTTAAACTTTAGATCTGTAGTGTCTGCTTTTTGCTGGCTGTATGTGGGCGGAGTAATACACAAAGGGTAAAGAGGCTGTACGGGTGCTGATATTACTTAAATATATCACGGCTATCAGCAAGTCAGACTCAAGAACCAGACAGAACTGTTGTATATATATATATATATATATATATATATATATATATATATATATATATATATATATATATATATATATACACCATAATTATAAATAAATCTTATGTTATCTTATGTTGAAAAAAAAAATCCTGCTTCTTAGTTTCACTTTTTAGGGTTCTTTAATGAAAGAAGGGTTCAAAATAAAAGCATAAGTAACCCTTTAGAATAATGATTCATTATAGAGTCAATCTAGGGCCATATATACTTGCAAAATAAAAGAAAGTTTTGCAAAAAAAAAAAAAATATTGAGCAAAAAATAAATAAATAAACACAAATCTCTAAACATCGCAAAGTGTTTATGGAAGACCCGAACATACTGGGCTGTAAGACCACCTCAGTGATACTGTGCTTGTCCGGCTGGTCCGGGGCTGTAAACGCCCAAGATCCCTTGACTCTGCCCCCTTGTCAAATCAGGGCCACAAAGTGAAACGTAAATAATTAAATTACAAATATTTTATTTTTTGTTTTGCACTACTTATTTTTTTGTAGTTTTTGTTTTGTTTGCAATTTTTATTTTGTTTCATTTTTATTTCTCAAAACTTTGAGTTCTTTACTTTTGTTAGCAAAATTGATTTTTATTTCTCAAAAATTAATTTTCGCTTTGCGATTTTGTAATATTGCATTTGTTTTTAAAAAAACGTTCTTTTAAATTTTGCAAGTATAATGGCCCGAGATTGACTCCATAGTCAATGTTAATGTATTTACTAACATTAGCTAACTATGTAAAGCATTTATTAATGATTGTTCAACATTTACTAATGCATTATTAAAATCCTTGTTAACATTAGTTAATGCACAGTGAGTTAGCATGAACTGATGTTATTCAACTTACATAACATGAACTAACGTTGACAAAGATAAATCAGTACTGTAATAAATGCATTCACAATTGTTTGTTCATATTAGTAAATAATTAATTAATGGACTATTATTTTAAAGTGTTAACAAAAGCATATATATTTTATTTATATATTGTTTTTTTACTTCATACATGTTTTTGGTACTTGGTATTGTATCAGTTTCCATAAAAATATGAAGCAGCTAAATAATTTTCAACACTGATATTAGCAATAAGTATTTCTTAAGAAGTGGATATTTTTATTCAATGATTTCTGAATGACACTATATATTGGAGTAATTCAGAATAAAATCAAAGGCATAAATTACATTTTACTATATTCAATATGTACAGTATGTTTTATTCATTGTAAAAATATTTTAAAATTGTACAGTTTTTAATTTCTATTTATTAATTTTTATTTAAATCAACTGAATGCAGCCTTGGTGAGCAGCAAAAGGCACTTAAAAATAAAATAGTACTGCTCGCAAACTTTTGACTGGTAGTATACACACAAACACAGACAACACATCATCCCACAGGTCGGCTAAAGCTAGGTGGTGTGAAAAATCGGAGCTGTGAAAGGACAGATGAAATCAGCCCGCCGGACCCCCTGTGGCAACGACAGAAAAACTAAAGCGACTAACCTCAGTAAAAAGCTGCTACGCAGAAAGCCCTCCATGTTCAGCATTTGGGTT